TCACCTATTTTTTCATTACTACTAATAATGTCATTTAAGTCTCCCCCTAACATCCAAAGTCCCTTATAATTTTGTAAAAAAGTTTTAAGGTTATCCCACATAATGTCTCTAAGATGAACTTTTGTACTAGCATATATAGCTGAAAAAAGTCATTTAAAATTAAAAGGACGTACCTCTAAAAGAGCATGGATTTCCTGACCATTTTTTGTGAAGTGTTCCACTGTCACCACATTGTGATTATAGAGAATGGCCATACCTCCTGATTGGCCATCTGCAGGAACCTTTATGAGCTCAGAGAAGTTGAATTCATTTAGAAAGGGGCATGCAACAACATCCTAGTCTCAAGAAGGTCTACAATGCAGAGTTTATGAGTGGCAATTAGTTCCCTAAAATTACGACGGAAGTCATCATTATTGGCACCTCTAACGTTCCAAAATATTATAGTAGTGGCTCTATTCATTTGAGATGCTTGTTGTTGGTTGACAGTGGACTCCCTCTCCACTGAGTTGTGGCTCCTCCTTCTTGATGGGACTAGGATTATTGCCTGCTTTCCTACTGTGGGATCTTGTGGTGATCGAACATGCATTGAGCACTTGTACATAGTGCTGGGGAAGCTGAATATGTATTTATTGCTCCATAATTCTGGGAAGAGTAGTATTTTTACCTCGTTTAGGCTTGAAAATTTCACACTCGGTTGAGTACCTTGTGGAAGGGGTTCTTCTTCTTCTCCTCTACTGGATGTTGTGGTAGATCTTGTCTTGGCACATTGACTTGGATGTTGGGTTCCAGATTTACTGGGGCTATGTTTGGTAAATTGCTCTCTTCCTGGACTGTATGGTGACTCCAAGGCATGAAGATCGGGTTGATTGTCATGCTTTCCTCCGATGGGAAGAATGGTAGATTCATTGGAAGATTGATGAATTGGTTGGGGGTTTGTGGTAGATTCTACTGGTCCTGCATGGCCTGGATTAGTGTGTGATTCATGTATGGAGCCAGAGGGTGTAGGATATTATTGATCCATGCTTGATTGGTGTAGTTGTTCATTGCTATATGCATTCCTTCCGATATTAGTTGGGCTAGGTAGCGGGTATTCTGGATTATTATTACCATCTCTTGGCCATTGATTTGGATGTTGAAGGTTATTGCTTGGCCTAGAATGTCTGCTTCTAGCCATGGGGTCGTTGGTAATTTTGAGGTTGAGGGGGGGATGTGAAGAATAATGGCTGATTTTGTAACTGTGGTGGCATGGGTGGAAGGTTGGCCATCGGAGGGATTCTGTGTTGGTTTAGGATGTGAACTAGTCGAAACCTTCTCTTGATTGTGAGTGGAAGTCTTGCATCCTCTTTTTGTGAGTTATTTATTTGGTTAGTATTGGTAATATGATTGGTAACTTTCCTAGGGTTTTTGATTTCTATGGATTTCATTGTCTGCATGGGAGATAATTGGCTTGGCATGTGGGAATATATAAAATTTTGGTGGATTTTGTTGTTGCCAGGTGCTTTGAATAATCCGCCATTTGGCTATCCTCCTTTGCATGCATGTCCATGTGTAATGTTGACGAGGTAGGGTTAATGGCTTGGGTAGTGGTAATATCCATTTTAGGATTAGTTATTTCCTTTAATTTAGAGGTAGCCAAGTAATTACCTATTTTGTTTTTAGTGGAAGGTTCATCTAATGATTGGGGTGTTGATTCCAAGATATCATTTGTCTTGAACACATGTAGGAGTTTGTCTTTTCTGCTTTGCATGCATTGGGCGTTAGGGATTATGGCCAGATTTCTTGCTAAACCATTTTCGAAAACCATGGGCTTTTCATCCTGACTTTGTAGAATCTCAAAAACATTATTGGATTTATGGCCAATATTTGAGGAGAGGGTATTAGTATTAGATTTTTTGTCTATGAATTGTCTAACTTTTGAGTCAGTAGCTAGTGCATTGAAGAGATTGTTTCCCATATGTTTGAATTTAGGAAAATTAAAATTTTGGGAATTGGAAGACATACCTGTGTTAGTGTCATTGAGTTTTGGACGTGTACCTAGATTGGTTACCTTAGCATTTGAGACAAGTAGTCTTCTTTTTCTTGTTGAAAGTGACAGTCACCCAATCACTTTAAGTGTCTTGTTTTGGGATATCCGCTGGACTTCCTTATTGCTCATTGGGATTGGGAGGTGGCAAAAAGACTGAACATTTTAATTGGATGTGGCCTAATTTACCACAATTGGTGCATAGAAAGTTTTCACCCTCATAATGTATATGTTGTTTATAGCTACCAATATAAACAAAAGGCTTGACCGGCTTTTCCATTGATACTTCAACACATAGTCTAGCATATCTACCTCTTAGGATAGAGGAAGTGCAAGCATCAATCCTAAGTAATCTGCCAATTGTATTTTCAATTTTTTGTAAAATGGTAGAGTCATAAAATTCAGCTGGGAGTTGGGGAAGACGAACCCAAACTGCTGACTTCAGTTGTTTTGCCGCACTGGATACAAATTGTGGCTCCCATTTTTGTACTAATAGGTGGTAACCATTAATAAACCAAGGTCCATTACTAAGTGCTCTGGACATATTTTCCTCCTTGGTGAACTTTACTATGAAGTAATCAGCCCCTAGATCCATAAAGGTGAAGTTTTCAATTGGTTTCCACAACTGATATAGTTTTTTCTTTAGGTATTGGTGTATGATACGTTTTCCCATTAGTTTAATAATAAGAGAATACCTACATGGTTAATAAATCCTATGAAGGTCGTCTATTGTGAGTGGGACTTGTAGGTTATCATTAAGATCTTAGATTGCTTGGGAGCAAATATTTTGGCTGGGCAAATATGGAATTAGGCAGTCTAGTTGCATAGGGGTGTCTTGAGTAGTAATTGGGTCTAGAGGCGGTTGAGAAACGTGAATATTGATAGAGTCTAAAAGGAGAATCTCTTATATGATGAGTTGGGGTAGTGGGGTATTTTGGCTAGTGTAATCGTCGAAGAATTATTTCCTTCATCAGCATGTTGAGATTCCTTACATGGCGTTGATGTAGGAGGATTCATAACTTCATTTCCATGAAGGATATCCGGAGGTTTAGGAGGGATTTGAAAGGATTGATGAGTGGAGGGTGGGAAATTGTCCATTGTTGCTATGGGAATGTTGAAGAAGGGAGTAGTGAGAAGGTAGACCTTCTCACTCTACCAAACGACGCCCATTGCTCCAAGATTCCCTTCATTGTTACACAAATTTAGAAGGAGCAAAGAGAAAAAGAAAAAAGAAAAAAGAAAAAAAAGAAGAAGAAATACGTTAAAATATCAAATATTTTTTTCGTGGCAGAATAGTTCGAGACTCCCTGAACTTGGCAATTTTTGTTTAGTACCCCCTTATCACGTGGTCTTTAATACCCCCTAAAATTGATAGTCTTGACCCCCCCCCCCTCCCCCCGAGATGCTGATGTGGCAAAGAACGTACATACACTCTCTTTTAAGCGCGTGGGAGGGAAGAAAAACAAAAAAAAATCAGCATCCAAGTCAGGTATTTTTTAAATATTAATTGCCACATGATCAAATATAATTCTTTATTTGTTTCAACGGTATTTCTCTCGTTGTTTCTTCTTGATAACAACCAAAATACAAGAACAAGAAGTGATACTTGAAAAGCAAATAAAGAAAGGGAAGCAAGACATAAATAATGATGAGATATTGGCAATAACTAGAATTAAATACTAATCACCCTTAATATAATCAACAAAAACCTACACTAATAGAATCCTCATAAGGAAGACAAACCTATTGCAAATTCTAGTGCTAGTTCAAAGGCAACCACAAATCTACCTTCAAGCTCACAAAACACATAGCAATATTTCTATTTATACTAAGGTCTACATAATGACTAAAAACACCTTTAGGTACTTGGGCTCTCCACTTGTAATTGGGCCTCTTCACATGAACTTGGGCCACCATCCTTGAATACCATTTGGATGAAATTGTAGACTCTATTAGGCTTTTTCAAAAGATCGTTCAAATCTTCCAACTTCAAATGCATCCCAATAACTTGAAGGTCCTTGGCTTGACTCCTAGTGAACGGTCTTGAAGGCATATGCATAATGTGATCATTTCTTAATATACATTGCATATTTTATCGCAATTGTATTTTTTTAGATACAATGAATATATGTTTCAGCTGTGTATTTCTTATCTTTTTTTTCCGGTCCAAATCTACAAATGTCAGTTGAAACTCCATTTATTTTAGCCAAATAAAAAGAAGATTTAGCCAAGGTTATTGCCAATATCTCAAATTACAAAGCCATTGCTGCAAAAAGAAAATGACTTTTTCTAGATGAAATAAAATTGAATTTATGTAACAGAAAAAAAAAATTCTCTTCTTTAACCGGAAAGAAATATGTCCATGAAAGAGGGATTAACTAGAGCAAAATTGATTAGGCGGTAGAGTTCTGAAAACGCTTAATTCTTTCATATTTGGACCTTAACTCCATGGGAAAATATGTTACTATTAAAATCTTCCTTAATTTAGACCTTAACTCCATGGGAGAATATGTTACTACTGAAACATGAAAGAATTGAAATCTTGGTATAAAAAATTATGAATGGATGATATGATTTGCATAAACAAGAATTTTGTGGTATTGTTTTATTGGACACGGAATTTAAGATTTTTTTTTTAAAATTTGTAGTCTAAACAAGTTATAGATATTCGTGTGAGTATAAATTATTTCATTAAAAGTAAAATATAAATTTTAAAGTTAAATTGTATAGAATATCGGAATATGATATTCTTTCCTAAACAGAACAAAAAAAAAAGTATAAAACATAAATTAGGACGGTACAAATATTAAATAAGGAGCATTAAATAAAGAATTTTGTGTTGGGATGGACAATTTCATCTAAGTAGAACAATGTCATTCGATGAAGTAGTTCAGTACAGGTTCTATGGGGTCCAACAACATAACAACATTAGTAGAGTTACCTTAGATAGAGGGAACTGTTTTTAGACGGTAGGTTTTATCTCTGAGAGAAGACTTGAGTCAAGTCTTCGCTTCTACAGAGATAGATATATTATCCTCTTGATCATGTTACTTGTGGTTTGAGCTTCTTCCCATTTCTTTTCAAAACCATATTCTTTCTTTCTTTGACCCCTTAGAGGAGAAGAAGAAGAAGATCAAGAATCCAACTGATCTCTTGGCTGCTTATTTCTATGCAGGTTTTGGTGCTGCAAGCTTTGACCAATCCTGGTGACTGTAAGTCTTATTTAATCCATTTCTTTAGTTCATTTTTGTAGCATTTAAGCTTTTCACTTAAGGATTTAACTTATGTATATACTGGTTATTTTCACCAGAGGCGGCTCAACACAATTCGGGGCCTAAAGCCAAACTGTAATGAGGGGCCTTAATTCCTTTAAAAAATTATATGTATTTTATTTAATGCCTATTTTTCTAGCGAATTCATAAAGTTAATTTAAAGTTTCAATTCTTCTTGTTTTTTGAAGTTTAGCATAACCAGATTCATATTTTCTAGCAGACATATTTAAACTTTAGTAAATAACAAAAAAATTACAGTATATCCATAAAGTAGAAATATAAAAAATGACAAATTTTAGATTAAAAAAATAGTTAAAGGTTAGAATAGAACCTGATTCAATTGATAAATTGATCCCAAATAACTTTTTAATACTTTTTAATAAGTTGAAAACCTGTAAAATCATTCTTGTAAAAAATCAGTCCCAAGTACAATGTGTAGAAAAAGAAATTCTTGGAAAGAAAGAAAAAATTTATCATTGAAAAAAATTTGGTACTTACCAACTTTGTATTTTATCTCACAAAGAAGGATCACAAGAGTGTTGTAGTTCTTTTGATACGAAGGAGTAAGAATTATCATAAAGCTTTAAGAAGTTAATGTAGAAAAGAAGGAGGCAAGAAGTAGTTGTGAATAAATATAAAAAAAAAAAGTCAATCCCAAAAAGGCAAGAACGGTAAAAAGTAACGGTTCATATCCCTAATATGCAATAACGGTAAAAGTAAACTTTTATTTTCCTTTTCTACAACAAAATTATAGTTGTTCACATTAAATACTTCAATAAAAGGAAAATAAATACATAAACCTAAAACTACTAAAAGTAGAGCCTTCAAATTTATGGGGCCTAAAGCTCTTGCCTTACTTGCCTTGGGGTTCAGCCACCTCTGATTTTCACAAACTCTTGTGGCCCGGACCACACGCATAGTGGCAGTGGCGAAGCCAGAAAATTCAATAAGTATGTTAAAATTTTGAAAAATTCAATAAGTGTGTTCAAATTTTGAACACCCTTTGCCAGTGGGCTATGCAAGGGTGTTCAAAGTCTATTTTTAATCAATAACAAGTAATATTTTACCTTATACGTAGTATAAGTTTTCGGCGAAGGGTGGTCAGTTGATCACCCTTGGTCCAACCTAGCTTCACCCTTGCATAGCGGGAGCTTAGTCCACTCGGCTGTCCTAATTATAAAAATTTGCATACATAGTTTCTCGCATGAAAGTTTTATTTTGAAAACAGATCTATAAAATCAATATCTCAATGGAGACAAAAAATTAAACAATTTAAGTGTCGTAAATATATGTTGGTGCAGATGGTGTTCTGGAGTCACTTAAGGAAGAGTGGGAGAATGTACCTCCAAGTTGGAGAGGTACAGATGCTTGTGGGTATCCGTGGGAAGGCATCGAGTGCAACAATTCACGTGTTGTTACTATGTAAGTTTCTCTTTTGTTGATTAATAGTAACAGTTGTTTAATGAGAATCATATATTAACACTCTTTAAAATATTCTAAAATTTAGGAACAAATTTGAAATTAAGAAATGAAAACACAAGTTACATATTTAGCTCGAGACAGTGTCACATGCTAATTTAATGGGCACCCCTCCTCATATATTGTGCCAGCTATTCTAATAATTCTTTTTCGCATTAATTATTTTCCCCCAACCGGAGTCAGTTTACACGCGTTTCAGATTGTAAAAAATCTGTTCGTTAGTTTAGAAATTGTTCTTTTTTTTCTTTTTAATTTACTAGGAAATAACAGAATTATTTATAAAAAATCAGCAAATTTGAGACAATTATACAGCTGTTCTTGTTTAGATAAAATATTATTCTCTCCGTCCTATTTTAACCGTCACTTTATCTCTTTTCACATATATTGAGAAAATAATAAATATAAAGTATGGTTTACTACATTACCTCTATTAAGTATTTTTGATAATTGAGTAGTATTAAAAAGAACTTACAACTTCTTTAATATTAAAGATAACATCTAAAAATGGCTTAATCCAAACAAGCTCATAGTTGGAAATAATTACTGCCTCGGGTCCATAATAAGTGACCTCACACCCATTAAGAACATACGAACTCCTAGAGAGAAAAAGATGTATTTACTAAATTAACCTTAATTAATTGTTACCTTGACACATTGGAATATGTAAATAAGGACAAATTTTTTGTAAAAATAAAATTAATTCCTTCTTGATTATGTAAATGGACACTTATTTTGGATCAAAATAAAAAGGTAAAATAGTCGCTTATTGTGGACCGAAGGGAGTAAAAAATTTAATCTTGAATCTCTGGAGTAACAATTAATTCGGGACAAATTTTTTGTAAAAATTAGCGGGATTGGTCATTTTTTGCACTGATTATTAGAGTTTAGTCATATTTAAATTGTAATGACAAAATAATCATTGTCCGACTAAATTGACGTTTTTGCCTCTAACTAAAACAAAAAACAATTCCAGCAATGGATACTGGAGTTCAAAAATTTTACAAGTGGAACTCCGAGACAATGTATTGGAGTTTAAACCCCATCAATGATTTATGGGGTTTAACCTTTATAAATTTAAGAATCCAGTAACCATTCATGGGTTTCAAAAATTAACTACAGGTGGAACTCCAATAACGTATGCTCGACTTTGCGGCCTTTGAAAGAAAAACTCCAACGCACATTGCTGGAGTTCAAACTGATTTCAGATGAAAAAATCTTAACCATATGTGTTAAAGAAGCTCATCCATGGAAGAGCAATTGTGAAGCAGAGGAAGAAGAAGAAGAGAGAAAATGAGATGCTACTTTGGAAACACTAACTAACTACTCTTCATTAAATAATCTAACAGTTGTTGACAACTGTATTCTAACTAATTAACTAACTCCTAACAACTTTTCTATGTCCCACAGTGCATTAACCTCTCAACACTCCCCCTCAAGCTAAGAGATGGAAGAGGTTCTTCATTCCCACCTTGCTAACTAGATAGTCATGTTGTGGCTTGCATAAGGTCTTGGTAAGCAGATCATGTTGGACTTTAAGCATTGGGCTTAAGACTTTAAGCATTGGGCTTTAAAAGTCTAAGAGTGTGAATTGGAAATGGTGGGAAATAAAATGGACGGAAATGAAAATTTGAATGAAGTAAACTTTTGACTTGCACTTTGTCCCTCATTGGTGAGGGACAACTACATGTGTGTGCTAATATATAGAATCACTTCTTAAAGCTCTTAAAAGGAGTTGAAGAGAATGAACCCTCGCGCCGTCGTCGCTCGCTCGGCTCGGCTTCGGCTTTGGAAAAAATTTATTTAATTAATTATTTAATAATTAATTAAATGTCAGTTAGTTAGCCGCTGTCCGGGCATAACCGCGGCAGGACGCGTAAACTGCTGAACAGACACCTTTTCCAGAAAAAACATCACACCTCTTCCAATAATTGCCTATCAATTCTGAGGCATGACTTCGTTTTTAATACACGAAAACACTACAGAACTTCCTTCTTTCTGGAAAATACTGCATTCTAATTCGCAGTCTCTCTCTCTCAAATTCGTAAGTGTGATTTTGCTCCGTTCTTTGAGTTCGTTGGTATCCTGCAGTTTGTATTGCCACTGTTGCAGGAAGGTTTATTCCGTTTCATCCTGGGAGGATTTAATCCATTATCTTGGCAACGTGTGAGGGGGTTAAAATTTCTTAAGGACACACAAGCAAATTGTGGACTCGGAATATTTCTTATTCTTTACTGTTTTCCAGTTTCTTTTATTCTTCTAACAGTTTTTCTGATTTTGTGTTTTAACACAGTAGCGGATAACAAGCTTAAGGAATTTTAACTAACGTTTTTGTGTTGAAATATATATTAAACTGTTATTTATATTTTGTATACTGGTTTGGAGACTAAAGCCTTCGTGCTTTCTACTCCAATAATTGTTCTGTCCGGTTTAAAGTATATCAAAACTTTACCGGAATAATAAACGTACGGGTTTGAAGTATATAAAAACTTCACCATTGTTACGTATTGTATGTTTGGTTTGGTATTCAGTTTGAAGATATCAAAACTTCATTGATTTAACAAAGTTCTGTTTTGTTTCCAACTCTACAGAAAAAATGACGAATGAAAACCAAACTAATGGAAATGTTGCGGGAACAGGTGCTACTGTTACGAATGTTGCTGCCTCGTCAAGCCGTTCAACTCCTGTCAAAAATGGATTCAAATGTATTTTTGTTTCTAATAGTGTTGTACTAAGTAAGAATGATATGTATGTGGGAAAATGTTACCTGAATGATGGCCTTTTTTAAGCTAAATGTAATAGCAGTTCCTATCAATAAAGTTAATGCTTCTTCTTACTTACTTGAGTCAAACACTTTATGGCATTCACGCTTTGGTCACATCAACTTCAAAACATTGCAAAAAATGATAAATTTAGAAGTATTGCCAAAATTTGATTTCATTAATTCCAAATGTCAAATATGTGTGGAATCAAAGTATGCTAAGCATCCTTATAAGTCCGTTGAAAGAAATTCAAGTCCTTTAGACTTAATTCACACAGATAGTTGCGACATGAAGTCAACACCATCTCGCGGTGGGAAAAAGTATTTTATTACTTTTATTGACGATAGCACGAGATATTGCTATATTTATTTACTTAATAGTAAAGATGAGGCAATTGATGCTTTCAAGCAATACAAGAGTGAAGTTGAAACACAACTAAATAAAAAGATCAAAATGATAAGAAGTGATAGGGGTGGCGAATATGAATCTCCTTTTGAAGAAATATGTTTGGAAAATGGCATTATTCACCAAACAACTGCCCCTTACTCTCCACAATCTAATGGAATTGCGGAGAGAAAGAATCGAACGTTGAAAGAGATGATGAATGCGTTGTTGATAAGTTCAGGTTTACCACAGAACTTGTGGGGGGAAGCTATACTTACAGCTAACCGAATAATCAACCGTGTACCTCATAGTAAAACACAATCCATTCCCTATGAAAAATGGAAAGGAAGGAAGCCCAGCTTGAAATACTTCAAAGTGTGGGGGTGTTTAGCTAAGGTACAAGTTCCTAAACCTAAAAGGGTTAAGATAGGTCCAAAAATGGTTGATTGTGTATTTATTGGATATGTAACCAATAGCAAGGCATATCGTTTTCTGGTTCATAAGTCAGAAAATCCCGAGATTCACGTTAATACGATAATAGAATCAGATAATGCTGAATTCTTTGAAACTATTTATCCGTATAAAAAGGAAAGTGAAGTGACCTACCAAAAGTCAAAACGACCTCGGGAGGAAATAACAGATGGTATGCCTAATGAGGAAAATCCGAGAAGAAGTAAACGTCAACGGACATCTACTTCATTCGGTCCAGATTTTCTGACTTTCCTGCTAGAAAATGAGCCTCGTACCTTCAAGGAAGCAATGTCTTCCTCAGAAGCACAATATTGGAAAGAAGCTGTCAATAGTGAAATAGAATCCATATTGAGCAACCATACTTGGGAATTGGTTGATCTTCCTCCAGGTAACAAAACGTTGGGTTCTAAATGGATTTTCAAGAAGAAAATGAAAGACGATGGTACTATTGACAAATACAAGGCAAGACTTGTTGTCAAAGGATTTAGACAGCGAGAAGGTCTTGACTATTTTGACACATACTCGCCGGTAACAAGAATTACATCCATTCGGATGCTAATAGCGTTAGCCGCCTTGTATGGTCTTCAAATCCATCAAATGGATGTAAAAACAGCCTTTTTAAATGGTGATCTAGAGGAAGAAATTTACATGAACCAACCCGAAGGGTTTGTGGTTCCGGGAAAAGAAAAGAAGGTGTGTCGACTTGTTAAGTCTCTTTATGGACTAAAACAAGCACCCAAGCAATGGCATGCGAAATTTGACCAAACAATATTGTCAAATGGCTTTAAGATTAATGAATGTGATAAATGTGTTTACATTAAGAACGTTCCAAATCATATAGTCATTGTTTGCTTATATGTTGATGATATGCTAATAATGAGCAAAGACATTGCCGACATTCAAGCTACTAAGCGTATGCTTGCTAGTAAGTTTGATATGAAAGACTTAGGAGTTGCCAATGTAATTCTAGGAATTAAAATCCAGAGGACTCCTCAGGGTCTAGCTTTGTCTCAATCACATTACGTGAAAATGGTACTTGAAAAATTCAAACACTTGGAATTTAGAAGTGCAAGAACTCCAATTGACTTAAATCATCATCTTATAAAGAATAAAGGTGAAAGTACGTCTCAATTGGAGTATGCTCGTGTGTTGGGAAGCTTAATGTACATCATGAACTGTACACGACCTGATATAGCTTGTGCAATAAGTAAACTTAGTCGATTCACAAGTAATCCAAACAAACATCACTGGGTGGCAATGAAACGAGTTCTGGGATATTTGGAATATACCCAAGACTACGCTTTGCACTACAATAAATATCCTGCGGTT